GTCCCCGTCCCCGGCAGGTGATTAAGAAAACCCGTTTCCCTCACTGGGACGAGGTGCTGGAGCTGGAGCTGGGGGAGGGGGAGCCGGGGGAGGCCGTGCTGAGCGTGGAGGTGTGGGACTGGGACATCGTGGGCAAGAACGACTTCTTGGGACGGGTGAGGACCTCGGGGTCTCGGGGAACCACCCCACCCCTCCCCACCCCTCCTTCTTGGGGTCTGGGAGACCGTGGGTCAGGACCCACGGGGTTGGGGGGCACGTGGACCCGCTGAGCACAGTGCCACAGCCAGACCCTCTGTGTGTCCCCCCGAGGTGGGGGAATTGGGGTGCACCACAGGGTGCAGCCCCTCCTGTGACCCCCCCAGGTTGAGTTCCCCCTGGACACCATCCTCACGACCCCCATCAAGGGCTGGTTCCAGCTCCTGCCCTTCCCCAGCGCCGCCGAGAACCTCGGGTGAGCGTGGGCAGTGGGGCCAGGGAAAATGGGGTGACCCCCCCGCCTCATCCCAGCCGGGAAGGAGCCGGGGTGATGGGGGGCAGTGGGTGCAGGATCCAGAGGAGCCCCCCCCCGTGTCGTTGCAGGGGGCAACTGGGTGCCCTGCGCCTGACGGTGCGGCTGGTGGAGGACAGGGTCCTGCCCCCCCACTACTACCAGCCCCTTATCCAGCTCCTCACCGAGCCCATCCTCTGCCCAGACCAGGTGGGTCCTACGGGCTGGGGGGCAGCCGGGGACCACCCCGACGTGGGGACCTCGCTGTGCCCACCCTGCCCTCCCCGCAGCCCCCCGCTGGCACAGCCCTGGCCATCCTGGAGGAGGTGACCTCAGGGGAGAGCCGGCAGGACGTGGCCACCAAGCTGGTGAAGATCTTCTTGGGGCAGGGGCTGGCCGTGCCCCTCCTGGACTATCTCACCACCCGCGAGCTGGCCAGGACCAGTAAGTGCCAGGGCCAGGGGCACCATCTGCACACACCCACCCCCCCCCCAGGCAAGGAAACTGGGATGCCAGGGTCCCCCCAAACCTTCATGGGGAGCAGAGTGGGGCCACCAAGACGGAGGCAGGGAAGGTGCCACGCGTCCCTGGGGTTGGACACACCAGGGATGGCTGGGGCATCACCCTGTGCCCACCTCACCATGGCCTTTGCCCTCTTCCAGCGGACCCCAACACCCTCTTCCGCTCCAACTCGCTGGCCTCCAAGTCTGTGGAGCAGTTCATGAAGGTGAGCATGGGAGGTGACACCAGCCAGGTCCTCTCTGTGCCCTCACGTGATGGCATCGGGGCACGGAGCTGGGCTGTGTCCCAGCAGGGCATCTGGGGACAACGATGGAGACTTCCCATCCCTTGCAGGTGGTGGGGCTGCCCTACCTGCACGAGGTCCTGAAGCCGGTGGTGAACCGCATCTTCGAGGAGAAGAAGTACGTGGAGCTGGACCCCGGCAAGATGGAGCTGAGTCGCAGCAGGCGAGTGCAGGGGGACATTTGGGGGGGACACACAGCGCCTGGCACGGCCCAAGCCATCCCCATCCCTGTGGGAGGGGGTCACCCGTTGCTGCTGAACCCGTGGATCACCTCAATGGCTTTTTGGCCAACTTGGGGTGGCCCATTCCTGGGTTTGGGGTGCCCCTTGACCCAGCGGTGTCCCTGCAGGAGGATCTCCTTCAAGGGGTCCCTGTCGGAGGCCCGGGTGCGGGAGAGCAGCCTGGAGCTGCTGCAGGGCTACCTGGGGGACATCGTCGATGCCATCGTGGGCTCGGTGGAGAAGTGTCCCACCCTCATGAGGGTGGCCTTCAAGCAGCTCCGCAGGCGGGTGGAGGAGCGGTTCCCCTCGGCGCAGCACGAGGTGGGACCAGGCAGCAGATGCGGTTGGGGGTCCGCACGTCACCGGGACCACCCCCACCCCCAGCCCCTGAGGTGTCCCTGTCCCCGGCCAGGAGGTGCGGTACTTCTCCATCAGCGGGTTTCTTTTCCTCCGCTTCTTCGCCCCCGCCGTCCTCACCCCGAAGCTCTTCAGCCTCCGGGAGCAACACGCTGACCCCCGCACCGCCCGCACACTCCTGCTGCTCGCCAAGGTTGGGGGGAACCCGGGGAGGGATGGGGACCTGGGGGAGGGATGGGGACACGGGGAAGGGATGGGGACCTGGGGGAGGGATGGGGACCCAGGGGAGGGATGGGGACCTTGAGGAGGGATGGGGACACAGGGAAGGGATGGGGACTTGGGGGAGGGATGGGGACCTGGGGGAGGGATGAGAATGCTGGGGGAGGAATGAAGGCAATGGGGAGGAAGGGGGAAGCTGTGGAGGGATGGGGACCCCCGGGGGACAATGGGGACACTGTGGAGGGATGGGGACCCTTGGGAAGGGAGGGGGATGCTGTGGAGGGATGGAGATCCTTGGGGT